TATGAAATCCATTGCCTTGTCTGCTTTGTTCTGGACGAGGAGATCCAGGAGCTTGCACATGAGGGCCATGCCGTTGCGGTTGCGCTTGGACAGGTTGTACTTCACCTCGAGCACCCTGAGAAAGTAGGCCGACGCCGCTGCCGGAGGCTCCTTCTTGTGGTCGTCGCTGTCGCTGTTGGCCTCTCCCCCAGGAGTCACCCTCTGCGCCATGGTCCACATGGCGCTCCTGGACAGTCTCCCCGGGTGCTTGCGCGCGAAGCGCATAAGACGTTCCTGCGTGGACTTCTGTCGAACGCCTTCTGAGGTCGAGGCCACGTGAAAACCCATCTCGCACGAGTCGCTGCAGCTTGACTCGCTCCTGGGTTTACGCCGGCGGGGGCTGCGCGCTACCTGCTCCTCCCTCCACGGCGGTCTTCGGCTAAGTGTGAATCACCGGGCCCCCTGCTCACACAAAAAGGCCCTATCATTTTGATCTGCGGCTCCAAGGAAGATTCCAGAGAGCGGGTCGAATAGCTGGTGGGGATACACGAAGCGTCTAGAATTGCCAGAACAGGCCCACCACCTCGGACCAGAAGGACACGTGGGTGATCCAGCGGATCAGCGAGAGTCCTTCGAACAGCTCCTGAGTATCGGAGAACGTGGCGGCCAAAACGTCATTGCTGAAGTAGTTGTCGCAAGTACCGCCCCGCTCGAAGATGATCACTCCCGTCGTAAAACTCGTGCAGTAAGCAGGGTCGACTTCACAACACCGGACGGTGCCCGTGTACTCGCGCCCCTCCCTGAGAGTTGCGATCTGATCCTGTGTCGCATTAAAGCAATACTCTTCTTTTTTTCGACAACAACAACCTATTGCAATCTGGTGCAACCCCTGTTGGCTCACTATCATGCCGTGTGATAGCCTGCGGGCAGATGAAATTGTCCATGATCACCCATATATGGCAAGCGGCACCGCACCTGGCAACTGCCGCCTTCTTGCAGCGTGCCACAATCTGTAGTGGAGTGCCTATCGCTGTCCAGCCACCAGGGCAGCGAAACATCGCAGGTGTACACCATGCACTCAGAAGCACCAGACTTGTCAGTGTACCACCCTGAAGGGCACGCTGTGCAGACTGAATCGCTTGACTGATTGCTATACGAATCCTCGGGGCATGCCGTGCACTCAGAAGCACCGGACTGGCCACTGTAGGCCACTTCGTTGTCTTCGAATTCGAATTCCCAGAACTCCATTCCTGGGCATGATTTTGAATGCTCGGAGCCAACTGTAGGCCACTTCGTGGTCTTCGAGTTCCCAGAATTCCATTCCTGGGCATGATTTTGAATGTCCAGAGCCAACTGTAGGCCACTTCGTGCTCTTCGAATTCCCAGAACTCCATTCCTGGGCATGATTTTGAATGCCCGGAGCCAAATGTAGGCCACTTCGTGGTCTTCGAGTTCCCAGAACTCCATTCCTGGGCATGATTTTGAATGCCCGGAGCCAACTGTAGGCCACTTCGTGTTCTTCGAGTTCCCAGAACTCCATTCCCGGGCCACATTTTGAATGCTGAGGCAGCTGATGCTGAGGCTGAGGCAGGCTGAGGCTGAGCAGGCTGAGCTGAGGCTGAGGCTGAGGCTGAGCTGAGGAGGCTGAGGCTGAGGCTGAGGCTGAGGCTGAAGGCTGAGGCTGAGGCAGGCTGAGGCTGAGGCCGAGGCTGAGGCTGAGGCTGAGGCAGCAGGCTGAGGCTGAGGCTGAGGCAGGCTGAGGCTGAGGCTGAGGCAGGCTGATGCTGAGGCAGGCTGAGGCTGAGGCTGAGGCTGATGCAGGCTGAGGCTGAGGCAGGCTGAGGCTGAGGCCGAGGCTGAAGGCAGACTGAGGCTGAGGCTGAAGCAGGCTGAGGCTGAGGCTGAGGCTGAGGCTGAGGCAGGCAGGCTGATGCTGAGGCAGGCTGAGGCTGAGGCTGAGGCTGATGCAGGCTGAGGCTGAGGCAGGCTGAGGCTGAGGCCGAGGCTGAAGGCAGACTGAGGCTGAGGCTGAAGCAGGCTGAGGCTGAGGCTGAGGCAGGCTGAGGCTGAGGCTGAGGCTGAGGCTGAGGCTGAGGTGAGGCTGAGGCTGAGGCTGAGGCTGAGGCTGGCTGAGGCTGAGGCTGAGGCTGAGGCTGAGGCTGAGCAGCTGAGGCTGAGGCTGAGGCAGGCTGAGGCTGAGGCTGAGGCAGGCTGAGGCTGAGGCTGAGGCTGAGGCTGAGGCTGAGGTGAGGCTGAGGCTGAGGCTGAGGCTGAGGCTGAGGCAGGCTGAGGCTGAGGCTGAGGCAGGCTGAGGCTGAGGCAGGCTGAGGCTGAGGCTGAGGCTGAGGCTGAGGCTGAGGCTGAGGCTGAGGCAGGCTGACTGAGGGCTGAGGCTGAGGCTGAGGCTGAGGCTGCAGGCTGAGGCTGAGGCAGGCTGAGGCTGAGGCTGAGGCAGGCTGAGGTTGAGGCTGTGACTGCGACTGCCGTTGCCACTGCGACTGTCATCGCGAATGCGACTACGACTGCGAGAACAGCAGAATTCTACAACTGGATTCTCATCCGAATAATAAGGGGAATGCTTCCAGATATGCTCCTACACATCGCTGTTAGATTGCTTTGTCGGGATATTTGTTATCCATATCCAGTGCGCCTCGGCGTTGCGGCACCTCTTCCCAAAAAGTCCACGACGCTCTGGATATGGATATAAACACTGCCCGCACATGAGGCCCTCCGCCGGCCAGACCGAAAAACATTGGATGGCACCCTCCCCCAGGATGCATAAGAACAGCCAACAGGCATGAAGAACAGCAGGGTCTCCTACCCGAGCCGGTTTCGATCTTGTACCTCGGCCCGACCGTACTATACTCCCCTCCCCGCAGCGTCGAGGAGGCGAGCCTGGATCCGTGAGCGCCTGGCGTCGCAACTGTTTGTCATGCCAGGCGCCTGCGCCCGGTTTCGGTCCCCAGGGCTGGGCTCGATCTGAACGGTGCTTTCCCGTTCTCGCTTTGGCTTCGTTGTCCCTCGCTCTGTCTTCGTCCCGCCTCTGCTGCAAAACGGCATCGAAACCAAGAGGGTCCACGAGATCGCCAAGACAACCTTCAGGTCGAGCACTGCCCTGGCCACTGGGGCAGTGCACCGACCAGTGCGGCTCGAAGCATGGCGCAGCAAGATGGGGTGCGCTCGCGTCGTGATTCTTTACGATGGTGCAGTCGTTTCGCAGAGCCAGATCTCGGGGTTCGGAGGTGCTGCCTCTGCGGATGCCCTCCAGGGAGGTACCACAAAGGGTCCTTCGGGGGGTCCTTCGGGGCGTCCCTCGGAGGTCTCGCGGAGGCTCTCGAGGAAGTGTCGCCCTCGTCGCCGTCGTCGTCTCAACCGCAACAAAATCGTCGTCGCCGCCGATATCGTCGTAGTCTTCCGCGGGTAAACACGTAGTCGTCATCGTGCCGGCGCCGCCCCTGGAGCGCTGCTGTGCCGATCTAAAACATCCGCGCGGACCTCCGACAAATTATGCCTATGCAGCTGTTGCTCCTCCTGAGGAGGTGGAGAGGGAGGAGGAATAGGAGGAGGAGGAGGAGGAGGAGGAGGAGGAGGAGGAGGGAGGAGGGAGGAGGGAGGAGGCGGAGGAGGAGGGAGGAGGAAGGCGTTCTCAGAAGGCGGCGGAACTTCTCAGCAACCCTCGCGCCTTCCGAGAGGTGCTCTGCGTCGTCGGGGCAGGGCTTAGAGAACGCGTCCGAGAGGGCCGGGGAACGTCCGCGCCTTCTGAGCAGGGCTGCTCCGTCTCACTTCTTTGGACGCCCGAAATGGGTACAGAAAGGGCACAATGCCCAACAACAAATGTTGTCTCAAACCAACAGCGGCCGCTGTTGGGCAGGCGGCCTTCTGTCTCGAATGGACACAGGCCGCGGCGGCGTGGACAGCGAATCCTGTTCAAAATGAACAAGAACTGCTGTTGGGCATCGTACCCATTCTTTCCGTACCCACTTCGGGCGTCCAAAACTTCTCCCCGGGCCTCGCCGCCGATTCCCGCTCCCGCGCCAACCCGAGGGGGGATGGGGGGCGCTCTGGCCCAGACCACGGGGGCGCGCTCGGCGTCGCGCTCCTGTGGGTGGCCACTGGCCATCGCTCGGACGTCCATTCCCTGTGCTTTTTCGGTTTCGTGCGTGGTTTTTTCGCGAAATGATCAAAGATGTTCCTCGATGGCCCTCGCCGAAGGAAACATGCACACGTTCGCACGGGCACGGACGCGCTAACAAGAGAGGGCAATACTGCACATGCTCCACTCATTGTGTGAATTGGTCTTCAGGTAATTGAAAGGATACGGCCAGATCAAGATCTGGCAGAATCTAGAAGATTGCGCGTGCACCTGAGCTTGGCAGAAGTCCACGTGGTGGTATAATTACATTCTGCTGCTGGGAAACAGCAGCATCCACTTCACGTGGCACTCTTCTGCAACAGACAGGGCGGTCTGGATCTGGCAGCGCCAAGCCGTGTCCGCCGCCACCTTGGGGTCAACACTGCGGCACTGGCCATGTCTTCCCACGACGCTTCCTGGACATCTTCCTCCTCCTTCTCATTCGATATTACTGCCACCCCCCTATGGACGATATCACTCTGAATCCTCCTTGCGGAAGATGCTTCGTAATATTCTCGTGACGCCGCTGGAGAGAGCAACCTCCGTTGGGGGCGTGACCGAGCCGTACGTGGATCAGATCTGCCGTGAAACAAGGAAGCAGTGAAACTTTACGTGAATGCAGCTTTCGGACGCGAGCACTATCTCAGAAGCACCGCAAATCCACCCTCCAACAAAAAAGACGGTTGGTAACACTGACGGCACATGATCGAAGGTAATGCTGCATTGGTCGCCAGGGGGTCCCCGGGCGTTGGATCTGCCGTGAAGAGCTGGACAGATGGTGTCAACATTGGAGAAAATATACGTACTATTAAATGGAAACAATTCGGCAACCGGCGCAGGGCAAGCTCCAGCGCACGCCGGCACTCAGGACTGCGCACTCCTCTGCTGCTCAAATGCTCTGGCACTCTTCTGGCAACGATCTGTCATTCGGCGTTTGGGGGCTTCTCGGCAGCCTCATTGATATCGTTCGTCTTCCCGAAAGCGGGCTTTCGAACCACCCGCTGATGTGCTGCTGCTTGGCTCTCAAAATGCCCTCTTCCTTGTCGTGGATTAGCTTCTCCGTCTCCCCCACCAGCTTCTCCGTCTCAAGCGTCGGCTTGACGGCACCGTCCTCGCCGATGGTGAGGACCGCGTCTGCCGCCGCCAGAAACATCGCAGAACTGCTTGTGAAAATGCACGTACGGGGTCGGCGCCCGTGTCTGTGATCCTCACTCCTTTCCAGTCCGCTATTGTCTACGTACTCTCGCAGACACTCCATCACCCTGGTCGCGTCATCGATGGCAAGGAACTGAAGGGGCTTGTCGAGGACAAGCACCGGAGGGTCACAGATCAGGGCGCAGGCGATCTGGATTTTGGTGCGCACGCTGGCCGGGACGCTCGACACGATCTTGTGGTTGTTCAGCTCTTCCGCTCGAACATCCTTGTGGAACGACTCGTCCGACTCGCAGGACCTGAGGCCGACAGAAACCATGCCCGCGTCTGACCCGCTGGCATCATCTCGGATCATCCTCACCAAATCCTCTGGTATGTTCAGCCGCCTGCAGATCCGGAGCCCGCGCTCGATCTCTGCGCCCTGGAGGTTCCTGTAGTCCTCCATGCGCGTGCGCTGGTTAGTCGCCAGGAGCCCGAAGAACACGGTCAACGCCAGGGGCCCATCCTAGATTCAAGTCGGGCCTGTCCCCCTACAGGGGGATGTTGGGCGAAGAGTTAGAAATACCTAAACAATACCCCCCAACTGCCCAAAAATAGTCAAACAAGAATCCCCTGACTATTTGTTCTTACTATTTTTGAATATTCTCCCTGTAGAGGGAAAGGCCCGACTGAATCCTAGATGCAGAGAGGCGGAAACAGGACATTTCGAAGGCCTGCGCGGATTTGTCCCGCATCGGCGCTGGGCCGCCCGAGGGGCCCCCACGGAGGCAATCCGCGCGGAGCTTCGAAAGCTCATGCTCGTGCGGTTTCTGTTCTCTGATCTCCCAGAGGTTGGGCTGTATCTCGACGCGCAGGACGCGTAGGTGAGGGGGCACGAAGAGGGTGCCACTGTGCGGCAACAGCTCGCCAGCCAAGAGCCTCGTCACGGTCCTGCAGCCGATCCCAGGTGGCCCAGTGATGGCGACCAGCTGGCCCTGGCTGATCGTCATGGACATGCTCCTGATGATCGCCTTGTCGTCGACGTAGCAGAAGCGGACGTTCTCGAAGGTGATGTCCATCTTGTCCACGGGCTCGCCATCTCCGGGGGCCGACTCCCCGGTGAGGCTCTGCAGTCGACGCTGGAACTCCTCGCTGTTGCGGTGTCCGAGCTGAGCTCGGTGGCTCAGGTCGGTGGGATAATTCATGTACTCGACCACGTGCCAGCAACTCGGGTAGGACGCGTGGATCTCCACCATGCAGACGTAGACGCGCCGGTGCAGCGCGGTGCTTCCCAGGAGCGCACGGAGGGCCGCCGTGCAGCTGCCGGAGGTCAACGTCCAGGTAGAGAACGCCATAGCCACCGAGGAGGACGACCAGGAACTCGATCACCTTCTCCACGTAGCCGAAGAATGCCAAGTCATTCGCGCTTCTCGCTCCATCGGTCACGAGGCGCCGGTTGAGCAAATCGATCCTGTCATGGCACTGGCCCATGATCAGTGGGCGGGCGAAAAACGAAGATATCATCCTCATGTGCTCGACGCAAGCGTTCATGTGATGGACAAGGCTGACCTTTGCATCCAAGACTGTCTCTCGGACCCGTTCAGATTTCCGCGCACGCATCGTCACGTAGAATATCATCACTGGTGGCACCGCGAGCATGGGGATAAGAGCGACAAACAGCCAAGGGTCGCCGACCGCTGCGTAATCAAGGCAGGCGAGCACGGTAACGAACAAGAAAACCATCATAATCCTGCCAACGTGCCCTGCCAATACGAAAAACTGCATGAAGCCACGGTCGACCAACTGGAAGGAATCCTCAGAAAAAGTCAGCTTGAACTCACTTGTATCCACAAGCTCCCGGGACGACTCATCATAATACAAATACTTTTGCATCAAGCCATTCAATAACAACTTCCGTGCTCCTCCGCTGACTTTCCAGAACTGCCGTCGATAAGCCAGGTAATGTGTCATCGCGTACGGCAGGGAGAGACCCAGGGCGTAGCCCAACAGGAGTTCCAGGCCATGGTTCATGCTCTGGCCTGCGCTCTTAGCAAGGGTGGTGATTAATGCTTTGTTGATCGCCAGCGAGGAAATGTAGATCAGATTGTCGACCTGGTCTGACAATACCATCTTCCAGGACCCAGGCATCGTCACCAAGAAGGCCACCTGTGCGAAGGTCATCACCATTGCGAAATCATTGCCCTTCCTCCAGGAGTCGGCTGTGTAGTCGCTCTGTACTTGATCGTGGAACTTGTTATCTGGGAAGACGTCGTTGTCAATGATCTTCATGCGCATCGTGTACAACTCCACGCCAAGAGTGCAATTCTCTGGGTCGTCGAGAAAAAGCCTCGCCTCCACGACGTCGTCGTACGAGGCGTTCTCACGCACCTGCAGGTGTATGATTTTGGTCGACTCTCCTGGCCCGAATTCGAGCTTGGTTTTTTCGATTGCGTCGTATTTTATGCCTGCGAACTCATCGGCCGCGGTGCAGTATGTCACAGAGCAAGATGTCTGCAGGCAGCCGATGCGCATGACGATAATGGGCTGCTGTTCCTCAGACTCGCCTGTGTACATCAGGTGGGTGGCAAACTGCACGACGCTGCGCACACTGGGGTCGCCCTCGTCATCACTGGCCCTCATGCCTAATATCGTTGCTTCAGTTCTCGCCGACAGTCGCTGCATCTCAGCTGCCGTCGCGGCTGAATGGGAGCTGGATGCGCTGGCCCTCCTGTCTGATGTCGCAGCTTCATCTCTTGCCGACAATCGCGGCATCTTAGCTGCCGTCGCGGCTGCTGAATGGCAGCCAGAATGTAAGTAACTTGGGAGAGCCGAAAGGTACCGACACGGCTACTCCCCGGACCTCTCTGCGGGTGCGCTCTGACAAGAATCCCACGAGCCCTTTGGGCGACAGACAGGTGGTCTAACGAGGGTCTCTTTCCTCTTCCACAACCCCTGTTCTCTTCGGGGAGGGGAGCCATCCCCCTCCCCTCCCTGAGGTTGTTTTGGAGGGGTCACGAGGTGTCGGAGGCTGCTTTTTCGGCCCCTGGGAAAGCCAATTTCTGACACCCCTCACGAGGACCGTGGCCTCCGACGGGGGGGGATCGAGTACCCCCTCTCTTTTGACCGACCGCCTCCAAGATGGCCCCAGGTGGCCCTCCAGGGCTTCCAAGAGGCCCCCCAAGAACCCCCCCAAGACCGCCCCAAAGGGCCCCAAGAGGGCTCCAAGAGGCACCCGAGAGGCACCCAAGAGGCCCCTGAGCAGCCTTAGAGAACCCAAGATGACGTCCAAGATGGCTCAGATAGTCCAAGCTGGCTCACGATGTCTCCCAAAATGCCCCTAACGCCCCCAAGACCGCTCCAAGACGGCTCGAGATGGCCACGTAGCCTCCCAAGCCTCCCTCGCAGTTTAACTATGCGTGTCTTTTCCTCTCTCCCCCCGTCAACTCTCATGTGCAGTTTTTCTGGATGGGCTGGTGGGACTATTTTTTCGCGGCCGCAAGCGAAGGCGCAGACGGCGTCCGCAGTCGTCCCAGGCTGCGGGCGAAACCTAATTATCCAGCGAGCGCACTCACGGCTGCCAGAGCTGCCGCCGAGGGACGCTGGGCGGCGCCGGGGGCTGAAGGCGAGCTGCGGGAGCTGCCAGGTGTGCAGGGCCGAAGTGCAACCATCCCAGAGGCGAGACCACCAGGAAGACGAATTGTACCCTGTCGCAGCAGGCGCCAGAGGTAACCGTGCCAGCGAGCGTGGCAAAGCGCGGGGCTGCGCAAGCAGTCCAGCGTACCTGTGTCGCATGCCAACCGTGGCAACATCATATGGCTGCACAAGAAGGCCAAACCATTCCTGAGCAATCCACGTCGGGGCGCATCCCACCATTGCAAGCGTCAGCTGCAAACACGGCCAGGCTGTGGCAGCGTCTGAAGACCAGAGGCCAGGAACACGCAAGCACACTAGCTGGGGCTGGTCGACGTGACCGGTGGGAAAACTTGTTTGTTCGCAACCGCAAGCGGGAGAACCGCGCGGTGTCGTAGAATCGTGCGAAGGCCTAAAAGACGGACAGGACCGAGGCCAGGCACGGACTGGTGGGAATACGCGAAGCGCCAAGAATTTCCAGGCGAACCCAAAGGTGGCGACGAGGGCCTCACAGGAGGCCTAAAGAGGCGACAACGGGCAAAGGGTGACAATATGGGTACCTGTCTTTCCCTCCGACAGGTTCTACACGTCGCTCATTCCCAATCGTGCTCGTTTCTGCTTGTGCTCGCTTCTAACCGTTCCCGGCCCTCTGGTGGCCAGGAAGAGGCCCAGGGCACAAGAATTGGAGATGAAAGGACCTCCACAAAGAAAATCAAAGAACTCTCGAAGCAGTGGACATGTCCTCCTCCTCCTCCTCCTCCTCCTCCTCCTCCTCCTCCCCCTCCTCCTCCTCCTGCTGCTCCTCCGTCTCCTCCTCCTCCTCCTCCTCCTCCTCCTCCTACTGCTCCTTCTACTCCTCCTCCTCCTCCTCCTCCTCCTCCTCCTCCTCCTCCTCCTCCTGCTCCTCCGCCCCTTCCGAAGGCACACGGCCGCGATCTGGACGCGGACCGCACCAGCGCCCCCACGAGGCCGCGCGCCGAGCGCCCGGCGGCTGCCCGCGAGAGCGCGGGCGTGCGCCGCAGCCTCGTGGGCGCGCACAGGGCCCACGGCGTCCCAGAGGCAGGCAGGCCCTCAAGGCCGCCGCCTCGCGCGCCCCTCGGAGGTTCCTACAGGGCAGCTTCTAATACATAGGATGTTCAAACAGATAGGTTTTTTATCACATGAGCAATTCATGCATAAATTCGTGCATGAACTCATCGTTTCTTTGTTGTAAGAAAAAATCCCTGCATTTTGATTAATGATCCGCACGCGGAGAATGTATTAAAGAACGGCACTGCTGTGTGCTGACGAGGGAGGCGCGCTCGGAGGGGGGCCAAACATCGAGCTGGGATCGTCGATGCGTCGCCGACAGATCGGCGAACGGGCGAACGGGCTCTCGATGGGGGGCCCGCGCGTTCCGGGGAGGCTGTGGGCCGTCGGGTCCCTGGTGGCGATCAGCAGGCGACTGGGGGTCGATGCGCTCCTACCCCGCACGTGGCCCCCTGATCCTCCTCCTCTTCCTGCTCCAGCAGCTGCCCTCTCCTCCCCATCCTCCCCCCCCTGCCTCTCGCACCTCCTCGACCTCCTTGCCCGCCCCTGCTCCTGCTGATACTGCTCCTCCCCCACCTCCTCCTCCACCACCTCCTCCTCCTCCTGCGTCCCTGTCGCTGATGGCATTCAGATCCAAGAGGATGCTGCCGCCGCCACCGCCACCGCCTCCTCCTCCTCCTCCTCCTCGTCCTCCTCCTCCTCCTCCTCCTCCTCCTCCTCCTCCCCCTCCTCCTCGTCCCCCTCCTCCTCCTCGTCCTCCTCCTCCTCCTCCTCCTCGTCCTCGTCGTCCTCTTCCTCCTCCGCCTCCTCTTCCGCCTCCTCCTTCTCTTCCTCATCCTCCTCGTCCTCCTCCTCCTCCTCCTCCTCGTCCGCCTCCTCTTCCGCCTCCTCCTCCTCCTCCTTCCCCTCCTCCTCCTCCTCCTCCTCATCTTCCTCGTCCTCCTTCTCCTCCTCCTCCGCCTCCTCCTCCTTCTCCTCCTCCTCCTCCTCCTTCTCCTCTTCCTCGTCCTACACCTGCGGCTCCAGGACATCCCGCGATCTGCCGCGCAGGCCACGCCTGTGGCGGCCGTGGGCACCCGCCAGTGCCCTGCCCCCTCGGTGCACCTGTCGCTGCCCGCGGGCGGCGGACGTCTCCGCATCCACGCTCTTCGCGGCCTGGGTTCCAGGAGCCACTCGGGCCATGAAAAAATCACGACGGGAGGTTTTCCGCCATTTTCGGCCTCTGCTGGGGGCTCTTCCCGGGCCTCGAGACCGTCGAGAAACGATTCAGGCTGAGAAGCCGGGTCCAGGGCAAGGGGTCGGGAAAACTGGGGGTCGACGGTCTGACAAAAATCATGACGTCGGGGGTCGGGGACACACTGCAACCGGGTCGCTGACATGAGGACCGATTCGGGCTCGGGAGGGGCCTGGCTTCCAGGCCGTTCCTCGGATCTGCGCTGTGGAACCCGCTCGGGGCCTGTCCCGGCCGCGGCCAGGAGAGCCCCCCGTTCATGCCCTGTCGTGCGCTGCTCATGATAGCAGGCGATGGCCCCAGACCCCCTCGGGTAATGAAAAAATCATGACGGGAGGATTTTCCTAATTTTCGGCCTCTGGGGCCCCTCACCGGGCCTCGGGAGCGTCAAAAGACGACTCAGGATGCAAAGCCGGTCATGGGGAAAGGGTCGGGACCTCTGGGGGTCGACGTAATGAAAAAATC